AACAGTATTAACACCATATGAAATGCATAGCGAACAGTAATAGAACTATAGGAAATGTATAGAGAACAATAATAGAACTATATGAAATGTATAGAGAACAGTTAGGGATTGAAAGAAAAAAAAGAGAGTGGGATGGGGTATTGTTGTATATGTAGAGTAGAGGCAAAGTTTTATTATTGAAGACTCTGAGGTTTAAATAACCTGTTAAATAAGCTTCCCTCTGACCAAAAGACTACAGGAATGTGGCTAATTATTTTTACATTTGACTCATTTACAAAAATTCACTCTCTCTTTTAGGTACGCAAACTTGTTGCTTACCGACCCTCTTGTACAAGAGGTTTGACTGCTGTGCAAACTTGATGGCTTCAATGTAACCAATGGATGCATCATGACCCAGCATTTCACAGTAGATAAGACGCACAAGATACTCTCGCATTTGCTTCTAGAGAACAACACCACATAGTAGAGATTCATTTAATTCATAATGTTGAAGCATCCCATTTATGGATTTCTTGTGATTTCCCTCTTGGACTTACACCTGTAAGCTTACATTATGTAAATTCAAAGTATGGTTTCACGTAGTCCAGTAAATTTCATCAGCACGTAAATAAAAACGGAACTAACTTACCGCTGAAGTGTCTGGTTGAATTAATTTCTCTTTTAATACAGCAAGTTCTTTCCTGGCGATTCTGTCCTCTTCCTAAACAAGCAGAGCCTCAATAAATTCACTTGTTTCATTTTTCACTTAAATGATCTTCAAAGGAAAACAAAAGCTGCAACGGTTAGTGGCCGAATACACTTTCGTCCTCTTTACAAATTACTTGAAGTATCTGATTCTTTGCCACTGAAATACAAATTCCAGAGGAGCAGTGACAAATATTACTCTGGAAATGTAAAACTGAGCACTGTCACGCCAATTTGACTTTCATGTACACTTAGCATCACAGAAATAGTGCATCTGTAACAAAGAAGTCTGCAACATTTTTTCTACTTGAGCGGTAGTGAGGATTGAAAATTAAACTTAGATAACTTATTTCTTACTTTCAATCAACGTGCAAAGGACCAAAATGATGTAATGCACTCGCCTGTTTCGACTTTGCTTCTCCGATAGCTCTCACCAAGCTTTCAAAGGCTCTCGAACTGCTGGAATTTGGTCCATAGTACCCGGAGATAAAACTTGGAAGACCTCCTGAACCTTTAGAGGCCATTTCTCACCTTCTGACTGCAGGCAATTGCCTGATCTGCTCTATATTTAAAATTCCCTAACCAGCCGCCATTTTGTATTGTATAGCTGCCGCTGACCAAGAAATGAGGCAGACCTTCTCGGAACTACCCGTGAGTTACTCCCCAAAAAATGTCACGTCCGGGATAGATTTCACGATCCTAACGCAAACTGTTGCTACTTCATTGACCAAGGCATTTTAAAGCGAATATCCCGTCAAAAAAGGGAAAGAGATAATCTTAGCATGGTAATGGTGGTAATGAATGCCTTTGCTGGGGCAAGATAATTCTTGGACTCGTCAACGTCACGCTATCTCGATGCGAAACAAACATTGTTATCATCGTGATTACTATCATCTCTTTTCCTTTCCAATTCAAGTCTTACTCACAGACTACCGGGACACTCGAAAATCTAACTTAAAAGTTCTTAATTGCAAACGTACGTTGTATGAAGAGCGTTTTCTTAAAGGGTGAAATTCTCACTTGATTTCAACTTTACAAGATGCAATCGTGTTCGCTGGATCATCGCAGACAATGAATACCCTTAAGAAATTTCGTGGAGATATTCATAGCGGATATCTAACGTATTTGATATCACTGTTCCAAGATTAGATATGTAATGTTCCCTTTTCGGTCTTCTGATTCCATTATGTCGAATGTTTACTTTCACGCATTGTAGCTGTAGAAGTAAAACTTCCATTACCCCCCGGTCTGTTAACCATGGTCGTTTTTAATATGAGAAAAAAGTCGGAATCCATCTTAAAGACCTTTAATGACTCGGGCGAAAGAACAAAATGCAGTGCGAAAAAACAAGCAGAAACATTTCCTCACGCTTATTAAAATGCACCCTCGTAAGTAGTAGGACAAATAATGTGAGGTAAACATGAAAACATGATAAGGCTACGAGTTCGGTGACTATGTTGTTTTTTTTTTTTGGTTGTTTTTTCTTAAATTAAAATGAAAACAACTTTTTCTGTTAATTGTTTCTTAAGTGTGGTTTAACTGTTGTCGAGCTCTTTAGTCGGATCTTCTTGAATCTCATATACACACCCAGCCTTAGCTAAAAGAACAGACTGCCCAATTAACTATTCACGAGAATACTTCACGACAAGAAAATGAAATATTTACATTCAGTAAATGTAAAAACATTGACTGTGTTCACTTATGTCTGCGTTTCTTTCAAAAAGAGAAATGGAAGTTAACGAAGAGTTTGAGGACGACCGAAATATTTCAATGATAATTGGGTAACAGTGTAATTGATCTGATACATGTACAGTTTGATCAACGAAATCATTAGTTTGGTACGCTCTTTATTCGCGCACTAGCCACTCATCATCGACCATCGAAAGAGAAAAGGAAAATTATGTTATTTGGCAAGGAAACCAAATCTTTAAGACAGTGAATGAAAATAGTTTATTACCTACGTAGTATACGTTGTACGTAAATTTTGGCCTGACTTTTGCCAGAGAACCAAATCGTGATTTTCTCGTGAAAGAACGGGTCTGACTCAATCATTTTCTAAGAACTGTGGGTTTTCAAGCAGATGAATTTAAACAAAAGTGTATGGTTAATTTAATTGATTAAAGCAGTTCGATAAAACTGAAAGGAAGAACAATAACAGTTGTAGTTAAATAGGGACCACAGTAACGGGCTATTTGATCCCCTCTTTACAACAATTTTATGATTTGCTCGTTTCGTAAATTCCACATTTTCGTTTCTCAAATTACAGCTTTCCATTTTTCAAATTACAGATTCTGAGTTCATGTCGCAAATTGCAGATATTCAGTTCTTTTCGATTAGATCGTTTTGCAATTTACAGTAAGCCCTCGCTACGAATCATTTACTCTCGAATTGTCAGTTTTAGAAACTCTTTACGGTGACTAATTTACATTATCAACTCAGTTGATAAAACCAAATTGTCTCTTTAAACAAAATACAGTTTTGCCGGAAAGGATATGCACAAGTTTAACCTTCGTAAATCGAATTTATCAAGTTGAACAAAACTTGCTAGAAATCTAATCTTAAATCTAGCTTCAGTGATGCGTTTTGCTTTGTCTTGTTTTGTTTTTGTTTGTTTGGTTTTCTTATGACATAGTTGACTACATAAGAATAAGTGGGTTGATCAGTCGATAATTCGCGAGATATCATGAAGTCATAACAAATTACAAGAGTTGGTGTGGTAGAACTGATACGAGTCAGGTGAAGTAAAACGTCGACTGTGTACACGTCTGTGCTGCTTTCGAAAAAGTAGCTCACTGAGAGAACGCACAATTATTAGGGAAAGAGTCAACTTGAACGAACTCGGAAATGCCGTCGAAGTGGCTTTATACCCTTTCTTAGTTCACGGGCATCTACAGTTCGAGCTGTAATTCTTCAGTTTGATAGACCAGTGATTCAATGCATCAATTTATTTATGCAATGTCAGGAAGTGTACACGGTACATGCCAACCAGGTCTTACTGTTTGGGTCGACTAGCGACCAAGCACGAATTGCGGACTTATATGATCAGTAGCACATGTTTTAGTGCGAGAGTAATTTCGTGTCAGGACCTTGGGTGCAATGTTCATTTTGATTGTTGAAGTTTTGTGCTTTTCCTACCCGTTTATCGCATAGAAATATGTAAGTACATGTGCCTCGTTTTGCAGTTTCGCTTTCGCCCAGTGAGTTGTTAATTTAGGTTCTCGTTTTCAGTTTTTACCGTAGGTGTACGAAGATCAAGTCAAAACAACACGCAATGTCAAATGGTGAAAATGTTTAAATTTAAAAGAAGGTTTACTCCATCATGGAATGACTTGTATTGGTGCGGCTACGCGTAAAAGAGTTCTCTGCATATCGTCCCCAACACTTACAGTAACGGGGGAAATAAAACCGTTTTCTTCGTGTATAACGACGGCAGGTGATAACGAAAGTACTGCATGCATATTGAATAAACCGTGAATTGAGGTCTGACATAAGATAACCTTGTATAAATTAAAATATTTTATTTATTATATAACCACCAATTTTTTATGATCTTCTTTGAACTGGTAAAATTAACTTCATAATCACGATTTTATGGAAACCTTCCAAAAGCGATACTTCCAACACAGCCTTAAAGCAGCATGAAAACTTTGTGTGATGATGCGCCAGCTGTCAATTTCTATAATAAATACAAAATTAGACAATGAATTGTTTACAATTAATAACCTATTCGCAAATGACACACAGAATGAAAAAAAAAATAATGTTTTGATTTGAAAGTTGCAATCGTTCAGTTGGTCTTCAGAAGGAGTTTAGACCTAGATAACTACTTTGCAAACTTGGCCAAACGTTAGGTCTATGTGTACGAGAAATTAGAAATTTTATCATCGGATTTCAGTTCCCTATGCTTGTTTGTCTAGATCTGTCTATCTGACCGGATAAATTACGCACGTGCTCAACAGGAAAATTTTTCTTGAACCAAAATGAGTGACTCATTATCCGGTTTTGTTTTTTCAATGAAATTTATTAACATTCACATTTAAGGCAGACTTGTCACTTGTGATCACACTCGATTCGAAAAGGACGATAAGCTATTCCATTGATGCGATGACTTTCGTTTCCTTGAATTTTCTTGCCGGTTTGCTGTTCTTAACGTTCTTTGTGACAAATCAAGTTTCGGCAAAACCTATCGAGATAAAGAAATGTGACAAGAAGATGGAAGCTATGTTAAAGGATATAGAGAAACGGCTAGCCCACATGCAAACTGACATCAACATTCTCAAAGGAAAACAGAACCCGAAAGGTAAAGTCCAGAAATATGTCGAAAAATTCCTTTTATTAGCCAATCCTAATCAATGATCGGGGTTTCTGGTCTTCTCCCGACTGCGAGAAACTGTTCGGTGTGGTCGGCGCCGCTGATCGCCGACTAGAAATGAAATGGCACAAGTTCTTTCACGTTTAATTTTTTTATTCTTACAGCTAAGAGGAACTGTGCTGAGCTTTACAAATCTGGTCAAAAAGTCAGCGGAGTTTACGCCATCGACCCTGATGGTTCAGGTGCCTTCGATGTCTTCTGTGACCAAACCACAGCCGGTGGAGGATGGACAGTGTTCCAAAAGAGATTGGATGGCTCTGTTAATTTCTATCGCGGCTGGAATGACTACAAGAATGGCTTTGGTAACCTGAATGGCGAGTTTTGGCTGGGGCTCGATAAGGTAAACCGCCTGACAAAAACAAAGAACAAGCTTCGAGTCGATCTGGAAGATACTACAGGTAAAAACGCTTATGCCGAATACGACCTGTTTGCAGTGACAAGTGAAAGAGCTAAGTACCAGTTGAGTCTTGGAACCTACTCAGGTGAGTTATAATCTACGTCAGCTGTCATCCGTTATTTTTGAGGATCTCCCAGGGAAAGTAGGCGCGAATATTTAATATGAGGTCTTGCACCCGTATATCTCTGACATTTTGGATAGATACCAACTGGTTTTCAATAAATTTAACACTCGATCATTTTTTCCTAACAAAGAGGGGAATAATATATTGAGTTGTAATCAATGTCACATGTCATCTTAACTTTTTAGATCTTTCCAGGAGGGTTTCTGACTGGTTTTAAATAAATACTTGATCACGTTCTCCAAATTAAAAAGAAGGGAGTCGTATAACCCTGACCAGTCCCCCCCCCCCTCCCCCCGCTAGCTCAAACAACAACTTTGTTTTCGTATCGTACCTTAATTATTAGGAAATAATATGTTTCTCTCGGTTTATCATATAGAGACTGTGCTAGCTTTCAACGTAGCCTCAGAATTCTGCCTCCACCAAGAGATTGTAATCGCTTTGCCTTCACTTTTTTCCCTTTTTCTGTTTCAGGTACTGCAGGTGATTCCCTCTCTTGGCATCGTGGTTCTCCCTTCACAACCAAAGATCAGGACAATGAC